AGAGTCAATTTATTCTATGATTTATCATTAGTTTTTACGAATTAGGAACCTCAAATTTTTCTATAAGTTTGAGCTTGATATGGCTCCTCACTCACATTTTTCGGTTATAAAATCGTAATGATCTTCGTGTACAGTTTTTTGGTACTTGAACAGATCTGATTTACATCCAAATTTTTTTTCGCATTTATTGCATACCTAATCTTTGCGATCTTCGTGGACTGTACTTTGGTGGTTGACTAAATGATGTTTGTGTCCAAATTTTTTCTTGCAATTGTCACATGCGTAATCTTTGCGACCTTCGTGGATAGTTTTTTGGTGGCGATACAAATGCGATGTTTGTCCAAATTTCTTCTCGCACTTATCACATGCAAAATCTTTATGTCCTTCGTGAACAGTTTTTTGATGTTTGAGCAAATCGGATTTACATCCAAATTTTTTTTCGCATTGATTGCATGCAGAATCTTTGCGATATTCGTGTATCCTCTTTTTGTGTGTAACTAAACTTGATTTATGTCCAAATTTCTGCTCACACTCGTCACATGCAAAATCTTTGCGACTTTCATGGACTGTCCTTTGGTGGACAAGTAAATTCGATTTCATTCCGAATACCTTCTCGCAATTTGCGCATTCGTAATCTTTGCGACCTTCGTGTACTGTTTTTTGGTGTAAGAGCAGAGTCGATCTCACTCCAAATTTCTTGTCGCACTTATCACATGGGAAATCTTTGCGACCTTCGTGCACTGTTCTTTGGTGTTTGAGTAAATGATGTTTAAGTCCAAATTTTTTCTCACAATAGTCACATGCGTAATCTTTCCGACCTTCGTGTACCGTCTTTTGGTGCTTCAACAGATCGGAACTAATTCCAAATTTCTTCACGCATTTGTCACATGCGAAATCTTTCCGACCTTCGTGGACAGTCTTTTGATGGTAAACCAAAATCCATTTTTGTCCAAACTTCTTTTCGCACTTGTCGCATACGTGATCTTTGCGACTTTCATGTACTGTCTTTTGATGGAAGCGCAAATGCGATTTTTGTCCGAATTTCTTCTCGCACTTGTCGCATGCATAATCTTTGCGACCATCATGAACTGTCTTTTGATGCTGAAGCAAAATCCATTTTTGTCCAAACATCTTCTCGCATTTGTCGCAAGCGAAATGTTTGCGATGCTCATGGACTGTCGTCAATTTCTTTTCAGACTTGTCCCGCACGTTATCTTTGTGATCCCGATGGACTGTTTTTATGTGCAAAAGTAAACTCTGTTTATTTCCAAATCTCTTCGCGCATCTTTCACATAAGTAATCTTTGAAAACATCGTGAAATATTTTTTTGTGTTTGAGTAAAGTTGATTTATTTTCAAATTTCCTCTCACACTTGTTACATGTGAAATCTTCGCGATCTTTGTGTACTAATTTTTGGTGCGTAAATAAACTTGATTTTTTCATAAATTTCTTCTCACAATTGTCGCATGAAAAATCTGTGCGGCTTTTGTGTACTGATATTTGGTGTCTACTTAAATGACTTCGAAACTCAAATTTCTCTTCGCACTTGTCACATACGAAATCTTTTTTTTCTTTGTGAATTGTGTCTCGGTGTGTAATCATGTTTGATTCTAATGTAAACGCCTCCTGACAAATATCATGAACGTATTTTTTGTCGTCTGAAAGAACAATGTCATGTTCACTTAAATTATCCTCTGAGTCAACTTCCTCGAATTTTTCCTCATGTTTATCCATTTTGGTGCTTAAAATGAACGATGGATATTTCTTTTTAGTACCACAGAAATTGAATGAGTTAAATTAATCTTTTGGTGTTATGGATTGTTTCACCGGCAAAGTCAACATTCAAACTAATTTATTTTTACAGTAAACATAATAATTGTGTCGATGGATGATGTCAAAATCGTTTATAATCATATTGTTTACAATTAAGTTACGATTAATCTGTTTATACATTGTACTTTCAAAGTTGAACAATTTCAAAATTCTACGTTGGCGACGATTTCTTCGAGAAATTTTTTCGGCTTTCTAAGTACTTCAAATTACTCTCTGTAATATTTAATCAATAGATCCTTATACAACATATTAGAAATTATAACAAAATTTAATATTTATTTCAAAGTTTTAGACGTAATAGACGTGCTTCATAATACGTCAAGATCTTTGCCATTTGGCTGGCAGCGGTTTTTTTTCAAAGTGTGACTGCAAACGATTTCTGTCTTCGTGTACTAATAATTATGAAAAACTATATTCGACCCGCTTCATAAATGATGAGACTATCATTGGTACGTGTTTGAATGAACAAAATAATACCAGTCATTCCGCTTGAATTATACAACATGTCGTTACGTTTGTAGGAATACAAATCGTGAGAAATTGGAAAAATTGTTATATATCGGATCATATTCACCAATAAAATTGTTAAATGTGTGCGTTAAATTGCATGAATTTCGGAAGTTCCAATCGTAAAAATAAAATCGAATGACCAATCAGTGACAAAAGAAGATTTCCTCCTATCGCGAATATAAGCTTTTGATGTATTGCTTGACCATAAGCTTTTTGATGTATTGATGTACGCGAAATAGTGAGACGTGTCGCCGCTAGGTGGCCCGAAGCAAAAAACGTAACTTACGCAGAAAAGATTGTTAAGTACAATAGTTATCTAGTGAAGTAACTGTGCATAAGTAAATATTTCTCTTGAATCAAGTCCAGTACATCAGTGAAGGTTTGACATTCGAACACGCGGGAGATTTTCGCGCCTACATTTGTCGCGCGTAACTCGATTTTCTCGAATCGTATCCTACAGGAAAGCAGAGCAGAGGGGGCAGAGAGAGCTTTTTTGCATTCGATCGCCCGCTGGTGTGCGTGCCTGTGTCGCGATCGCGTCATCGTCGCGCCACAGCTCTGTCCTCAGCTGTATATGCTGCATATTATACACCCGCGCGACACAATGAAAAAGCAACGGCAGCTCGTGTTATATATACGCGCGTCAGCAGAGGGAGTGTCGAGCACCGAAAACGCGTATTGGATGCAAATTAGCTTTTTAATTAAGTCGGTAGCGGGGGCAGAGAGTCCGAAATTGCGAAGCGCAGTATTTTAATCGCTCGAGCTCGAGCGTATGTTGCATCGCGTTGGAGCTGCCGTCGAAAATCGATTCGAAATCGAAAATAAATAAATGAAGAATCAGCCGAGTACATCGTGCAGCTGCACGCTCCGGGGGTATATAACGAGGTTGATTTAAATGAGCGATTGGAATTCGAGGATCGGGAATTTGCGCTGCGCTGTCGAATTAGGTGTAAAAACGAAATTTTTGAGCTACGTTTGAATTACAACATAATTTTGAAAGGGTTTATAGTAGTACGTCGAGGTATTTTCAATTAGAGCCCGAAGTACATACGAAGAGCAAGGAGCGTGCGGAAGTCGGGGCAAAAAATTCGAGTTATGCGGATTGACTCGACGCGCGTACGCTGGAAAATGCCGCGCAGTTTTATTTATAGCAATGCAGCAGCAGTAGGATCGTGGTGAAATGCGCCGTGCGCGCGCGTATTATCATTTCGTCGTTGCTTCGAGCGAGTGTTTTTATCGTCGCGCGCTGACGAGTTTTCCGCGGGAATCGAGCTTTCGGTGATATTTCGTTTACGAGGCCAAATGACCAACCAAAAAATTTACCGATCGCGCATAGCAAGTGATTGCACAAAGTGAGAGGCTGTATCGATAAATAAATAGAGATTCCCCGCGCGCGAGAATCGTTCTATATATAGGTACTTCGAACCGAGTAAAAGGTTTTATATCATTGGGAATTTACGAGCTTTCGTGCGTTAGTTTTTCCGTACACACATATACACGAGCATCAATCCCACGCCAACCCCTTCAACATTCTGTTTTTTTTGTTTTTTTCTTCGCTCAAAAACTTATAGCAATTCGTTACGAAAGCACAACCCCATAAAGTATATAATATATCCCCACATACAGTATATAGGACGAATTTGCGGGCTGTTTGTTTGCCGCCGCTGAGCGTGAAACGTCCTTTTTTTTCCTTTTTTTTTATTCTCGCACCATTCGTACAGGTATATATAGAGCCGGATCGCTGCCTCCCTCTCTTATATACGGGGAGGCGCGCGCGCGATAAATCCATCTCAATGAAAGCCAAACATTTGTACGCGCGCGCAGAAACGCGGCAGAGCGAAAAAACGGGTTCGCGCGCGTTCGTCGCCTTCTCGTGCGCACACACAGGCGCACACCGTCCGGGCTTATTCGATTCTCGGCTCAAAAGAAATAGCGGGAGGTTTTATACACCCACACGTATAGACTCGTACACAGAGAGAGTCAGACACCGGAGAGAGAGGGAGGGAGGGAGAGAGAGGAAGCGACGTGTGACCAAAGTTGGCAAAGGATATAAAGTGAGATATCGAATTAAAGTTCGAGCTCCAGCGACTACGACTACGACTGCGACGACGACGAGATAAGTGAAATTTAGCTTATTTTCAGGCGCGATGAAGATCCAACTGCGCTCCACGTCGTATACACGCCTAATTTATAATAATGATATAATCGTCGATGGTGGTGTAGCGCCGTGGTGGCGCGTGATCGGAATACGCGAGAGCTCATTGATATGTACGTAGAATATATTAGTATATAGGTACGACGTTATGATAAAATTGCTGCTTCGGTCGAACGCGCGGGGGTCATTTCCCGATATTACACAGAGCTTCCCCCGAATTAAGAGGAATATTATGGATCAAGTTTTAACGATCTTAAGACACTTTACGCCGCGCACGCGATCATCACACGCGTGACTATAATTGAGCGCGCGAAAATCTCCCGCGCAGCTGTCACGCGCGTATAATAGAGACAGTTAAAAACTCGGAATGGGTCCGACGATATGTCGAATCCATAAACTGCTTTTATACGCAACGCTCGAATCAAAAATTAGAAACTGCATTTCATATATATCGTTGGTATATAAACATGGAAAATGTGTGACGTCGATCTCGGGTACTCACCGTCGTCGGTGCTGCTGCTGCCCAGCGTCCACTCCTCCTCCTCGTCGAAGTGAGCGTCGCCGCCGCGATCGTTGCCCGGAAAGAAGGCGTGCGCCAATATCTGTCCCCTGCCGTCGAAAGGATATCCGTCGCCGTGATAACCTCTGCAACATACAGCACACATATAAACGTTCGCACGCATGAGTAGTATAGAGAGTTTTGGTGTTGGGCTGCTTTTGCTGGGCTCTATTCTCGATTTTCTTTTTCTTTCGCCGCAGCAGTAGCAGCAGCCAGCCGCTACTCGCAATATATCAAACGAAAGGGTGCTACGGCGAATTCGTACACAGTAAGGCGCATTGCGAAAATTTGATTTCTTTCAGCTCGACCCCGCCGCCGCGCCAGCGACGTGTAATTTGCCCTGAAAGGCGAGCTCGAAGCCACGGCGCGGAGAAAATGCATCGACGCGCGAGAGGTATTTTTTTCCTTTTTTTTCTTTTTTTTGAAATGCTCCGGAAAAACTGTAGATTCTATTTTTCTAAAAGTATTTGTCGAAGAACTTAAATTCATGGTCTGAACTATACAGTGGCGAACGACAGTCCTTTCCCGCCCGCGCGCGCGTGAAAAGTCGTATAGCTGCGCGGCGTAAATGGAACTGTCAATTTTCATCTGCGCAACGGCTGGGGCTAGAAAAAAAAAAACTTTTTTTTATCTATTTTTTTTTTGCCTCGTTCGCATGAACACCGCGACGCACGCGATCGCAATGGCATATATACACCGAGTAGCAGCAGCAGCGGTAGCACAGCTAATGAACGGATAAATATTCGTTCCGCTGCTCTTTTTTTATTATCTCTCGTTTGCGTAACTCGTGCAAATACCATATATCGTACGATTTATCGACAACAATTATGTATATTCGAGTGTGCGTTGACTTACAAGAATAAAGAAGAAGATTAAAGTAAACGATGAAAAAAAACTCACCGATGAAAGGAGACGAGAATGTCGGCCGAGTCGCTGTTGATCTCTTGGAAGGTGAGCTTCGAATTTTTCGCCCACACGTCGAGGGCGCGGCTGAGCTCGCGCCTCACGCCGCCCGTCTCGAGGCCGCTCGGCCTGTCGGTCCTCAAACTGCAACAGAGTCATCGAAACACATTCGTCGAATTAATATTGTGTCTTTGATAAAAAAAAGTACGCGTTTCGTTGATCGATTGCACTCTCGATGCTATATAGCGCCGAGAGTATGTATCTTATCTCTTTCGCGCGCAGTGAAAATAAGGAACAATGACACGATCTTCTGTTAATTAATTAAACAATCAACAGAGAGAGAGAGAAAGAGTGGAGTGCCTAGATAACGGAACTGCTGCACTCCGGAGAGAAAGCGATAATAATTACGCGATCGCAGTGTTTCTTCGTTAGACGGGCAGAGAGCACGTACACGCACGGTATCATGGCTGAATCGAACAAAGTAATAACATTTTTTTATACAAAAAATCTACGTGTGGATTGTGATGGAAAAGTTTTGAATTAAAATACATAAATATTATGTGTGAACACAGAGCGGCAAGCGGAGGTTCCGGATCGAGAACAACGTCATCATCGGCGAGGACGCCGCGGAACTGCTGGTCGACCGGGGCGTCGGCAGGGTCATCCTCGACGCTTTCGACGCCCATCCCAATACCGTCGGACAGGTAAATAACGCAGCAAAATCGATCGTTCGACGCGTATGGGACATAAATCAATCTCTACTTCGTACATATAGCTCGACGTCGAGACCGGTGAGACGATGACGCACGCGGAAATGAAAGATCTGAGCGTGAGATGCGCCCTGTGGCTGCGGGAGCAGGGCATCGGCAAGGACGACATCGTCGCCTCGTCCACGCCGCTCATGATGCACGACTTCGTGCCGATGCTGAGCACGTTTTACGTCGGGGCCGTGTTCAATCCCTGGTACGATCAGTATTCAGCGGGTAAGTCGGGGAAAAAAAAAAAAAATGAGATGTTTTATACGGACGTGGGGAAAAACGAACGGTACTTTATATATACTCTTTGTATATATAGCCGAGTGCAGGGATCTGTGGGCGCTGATGGAGCCGAAAATCATGATCGCCACCGACAAGACCATCGATCTGCTGGCGAGCACGGCCAAGGAGGCCAAAGTCGACTGTAAATTCGTCGTCATCGGCGAGAGCTCTGAATACCCGACCCTGGCCCAGATCATGGCCGAGCAGAGCCAGCAGGAGGTCGACGGCTTCGCCCCGGTGGAGTATCCCATCGGCTCGCGTCAAACGGCCGTCGTGTTCTTCTCGTCGGGTACCACGGGCAAGCAGAAGGGCACGATGCTCACGTACGAGGCGATGGTCAACGCTCGCTTCAAGCACAAGTACATGCCGCGCGACGCCAACTATCTCTTCTACTCGGGCAAGACCTGGATCACGGGCACCCACTTTCATCTCTATACCATCAGGAACAACGCGACCCGACTGGTCACTCGGGAATTCGAGGCCGAGCGCACCTGCGAGCTCATCGAGAAGTATCGCGTGAGGTGGACCTTCCTCACGCCCACCTACCTCACCAAGATGTACAAGGCCGACGTTCTATCGCGCTACGATCTGTCGTCGCTCGACGCCCTGCTCGTAGGCGGCTCTCGATGCAACGCCGACGTGCTGGTGAAATTTCGCGAGGCTTTGATGCCCAACGGCACCGTCGTCTCCAACAGCTTCGGCATGACCGAGCTCGGTGGAGCAGGGGCCATGCAGACCCGCGACTCCAAGATCGTGCACTCGGTCGGCGACATCGTCGAGAGGGTGAGCATGAAGGTCTTGGACCCGGAGACCGATCGGCAGCTCGGGCCCGACGAGGAGGGCGAGTTGTGCTTCATGACGGAGAACAGAATGACGGCTTACTACAAGAATCCGGCGGCCACCAAGGAGGTCATCGACGACGACGGTACGAGATAGACGAGACGAGCTGAGGATCGGGCGATTTTATTTTTTTTATTTAATCATTGTTTTTTCAGGCTGGTGCCGCAGCGGAGACTTGGGCTACTTCACCGAGGACGGCGAGATAGTGATAACCAGCCGCCGCAAGGAGGTGATCATCTGCCAGAACGATCACGTGGCGCCGGGCATCGTCGAGGAGATACTGCTCAAGCATCCCGGGGTGGCGGACGCCGCAGTGGTCCCGGTGCCGCACAGCGTCGACGTCGAGCGGCCCATGGCCTTCGTCGTCAAGACCCCCGAATCCACGGTAAGATATGCGAGATTTCGAACTTTTACGAGGATATAAATCCGATCTGTCGTGTGTTTTTTACGCAGGTGACGGCCGAGGAGCTGATCGAGCTGTCGGCGAGCTACGCCACGTACTATCGCTTGATCGGCGGTGTCGTCTTCGTCGACAGTTTGCCGTACACGTCGACCGGCAAGATAGCTCTGAGGAAGCTCAAAGAGATGGCGCTCAAATACGCCCAATAATTGTGTCTTACGTTTAATAATTGTAATTTATAATCTGTAAAAATAAAATCTTTTGTAATATAACGATCGTCGTCGATCACAGCTGATTTCAATCCGATTAAAAAATTAGTTAATTTTTGATCAATCAACCGTACGAGAATCGCATCGATCAACGATTAATCGATGAACGCGATAACGACGTCATTTTTTTTTATCGCTAAACTGTATCATGCCGAACAGGTGTGTTTGGTACGTGCCGAGTACAGCTCGTTCGCGTGAGTTGCAAATTTTTACGATAATTTTACATACGAGTCTAGACGCGGCAGTCTAAGTCACGTTTGAGTGTCGTTCACTGCTGATAATTTTCGGAGTGCAAGATGAATTTCGAGGAGAACATGGAGGAGAGAATCAAGCACGATGAAGTATATCTTTATCATAGTCGTAAATAATTTTAAGCATCGATTTGCTATATCTGTCTATCTGCGTTGTGTCAGGAATTCCGTACTTTCACCATCGAGAACAACATCATCGTGGGAAAGACACCCAAACCCTTCGAGGACGGCATTTCCAAGTCTCTGCTCGACGCCATGGCCAAGGATCCTGACTTCGTCGCGCAGGTACGTGTATCTTAAAAACTCGATCACATAAAACTAAACAATCGTTGTCTCAGATCAACGCCGACACGGGCGAGCGCACGACCTTCGGCCAGATGCGCGAGCGCACGATCCGCTGCGCCCTGTGGCTGCGCAAGCGGGGCATCGTCCACGAGAACGACGTGGTGGCCGTGTCGACGCCCAACCAGAGCGACGACTACGTGCCGTTCTTCGCCGCGCTCTATCTCGGCGTCGTCTTCAATCCTTGGTATCACGATTTGACGCGCGACAAGGCCGAGCGTTTCTTCGAGCTGTTGAAGCCCAAGGTGATGTTCGCCTGCGAGAAATCCATCGAGATGCTGTCCCAGGCCGCCCGCGCGGTCGGCTCCGAGTGTCTGTTCGTCTGCTACAGTCGCAAGCCTGGCTATCCGTGTCTTCGCGACGTGCTGGCCGAGCAGAGGCACGAGGAGGTCGACGATTTCCGGCACTACGAGCCCGACGCGCCCAAGGAGCGAGTAGCCGTGATCTTCTTCTCGTCGGGCACCACCGGCGAGCAGAAGGGCATCGCGATCTCGTACGCGGCCGTGCCCAATCATCGCTTCGAGTACGAGTACTTCGAGCCGGGCTCCACCGTCCTCTGGTACTCGTATCTGTCCTGGATAACGGCGACGAGTTATCTTCTGCTCTGCATTAGGATGAGGTCGACGAGGATCATTCACGGGCCGGCCGACGCCGACGAGACCAGTCGCGTCGTCGAGCGGTACAAGGTGAGCTACGCGTTCTTCACGTCGCCGAAACTCACGCAGCTCTGCAAGGCCGACGCCTTCCGACGACACGATTACTCGTCGCTGCGCCGGCTGATGATAGGCGGCTCGAGGAGTCGCGGCAATACTCTGCAGGAGGTGCGCCGGGCCGTGCCCCAGTGCCACGTGTTCGTCGCTTACGGCACGACGGAGATGTCGGGCGTGACGACGACGCAGCTCAGGTGCTCGAGAGTCGCCAACTCCATCGGTCACGTGCTGCCGGGGGTCAGGGCGAAGATCGTCGACGTGGCGACTGGCCGGACCCTCGGGCCCAATAGACACGGCGAGCTATGCTTCGACTCCGAGCACAAGATGCTCGGCTACTGGAAGAATGCCGAGAAGACGAGAGCAGTTGTAGACGAGGAGGGTTGGCTTCACACCGAGGACTTTGGCTACTACGACGAGGACGGGGAGATCAGCGTGCTGGGCCGGATCAAGGAGGTGATGCGGCTGGCCGACGGCCGATACGTGTCGGCGGGACAGATCGAGGATAGGCTGGTGCGGCATCCGGACGTGGCGGAGGTCGCCGTCGTACCGACCGTTAAAGAGAACGACGTCCAGCTGGCATTGGCGTTTATTGTGACCAAGCCCGATGCCAAGGTATGATACGGAACTTTTTTTACCTTATGCGACTCGTTATAAAAGCTCGAAACTTTCGAAATGGTTGCTTCTTTCTTTATTTTTCGTTAATTCTTTGCAGGCGACGAGCGAGGAGTTGCGCCGAGTAGCGAATTCTCACGACGACACGCGCCAATTGTTGTCCGTCGACGTGACGATCGTCGACAGATTACCCTGCACGCCGACGGGAAAGAAAATCATACCGACCCTCATAGAGATGGCCCGAGAGTTGTAGCCCATGTACTTTTAATATAGTACATAAATTCATACACTTTATTAATAGAACTTTAAGACAATAAAACCATGTTTCAATTGAAACGTCCCATCCTCATTCTTATAATTGAATTACCAAGTCGATAATCGAAAAAAAAAATATAGAGTAAGATCCTTACCATTACAATTTCAGAGATAAACTCGGAACGAAAGATTAAATCCCGATTTCTATACGAAGTATGAAGCTCTCGTCTCGCGCAGCAGCCACGAAAGGGGCTCTATCTATATCTCTCGTTGACACGAGGGCACACAATTCGAGAGGCGAATTCGAGAGCGCGCGTGTACCTGACAGGGATGGACCGCGATCGAGCTCGATTCGCATAGCTGCTGCATACGTTATATATAACTGACGCGAACAAGCCGCAAATGTCTACCACTGAGCCGTCGGTGAATTCAAAACGTAAAAAAAAAATCGAAAATAAATACATATATTCGTACACGGAGAGACGTAGATGATGGAGGACTGTTTTGTGTAATTCCTGATTGACGCGCGACAGACAAGGACCTACTGGAATATCGCAGCCAATATGGATGTGTCGCGGGATATATTGTCAAGCTCATACGTGCATTATAAGAGCCTCTTGATCGGTCGATGGCGGGACGAAACGTCCTCGAGTTTCTCGATGCTTATACGTGCGTGGACAAATTTTGGGAAGGAGGAGCACGCGGCACGATGAATAATCCATTGGGATCACGGGTGTTGGCGTCAGCTCAGCGAATTGTTTTCCCGGCCGTCACGTGTCGATATAATTATGACGATGACGAGTCTCGAAAATTATGTCGGATCATTAATCGGCAGATCGTTGGTAGGCGGGTGAAAATGCGTTGGTATATTACCGCGGACTCAAATGTTGTGCGTATAAAATATGCTGTGGTAATTAACGCACGGTTAGTCTTAATACACGTTTAATTTTGTAAGTTTTACTCGTATATGATTTAGAACGCGATGAAATCAGTGTAGACACGCACTCAAGCTGCGATAATCCGCTTATTTCTCGCGATTTTTTCCGAATGATCATATTGTGAACGCGTACTAACGTTAAGGAGCTTTTCTCTCCATTCGTTACTTGTGTATACACACACACAGTCGGAGTTGCGCGGCGTAATCGCGTTTCGTTTTGTACCGTAGCTGCATCGCACACACACAGGCACATAGGGCGTCGAGCTGCGAGATTGAATCTTCGATACACACGATGTATATTCAGAGCTTGCGCGCTCTCGGGCGATGCCGTCCGTTTGACTGTACATTTATATGCACGCAGACACATACACACAGGACGTGAGAAGAGCACATCCGAAACGGCGAATCGAGTCAATAGAGGCCGTGCCGCGTACGTACGATGTACCCCCCATATTGTAAAGAGCGAGATCGGTACAGAGCACGTATGTGTGTACTAAACGTATTTATAAAGGGAGAGAAAACGAATTTCGGGTCCGTGTACACCATGCGCGTACACCAACGAGTATCCCCGGGCTGTATAGCTAGCTGTGTAGCTGGTATACTTATTGCAGCTCGATTCAATTATGCAACAAGCATTCGCAAGCGCGTATTATTATGCCCGCGCGTGCACGGCATGCATCAGGATTGGGAAATTAGGCGAGCTCTGGCGCATAGCACGCGTATATTTAAGAACGTTTCACAACGACTGCGACGATTGAAAGCTCGTGAGCCTCGAAGCTTTCTTTCGCGTGTCTGCTCGCGGCAACGAGAAGCTTATTGTACTTGATAATTCGACGATACGATTAAAAAAAAAAAAAAAAATCCAAAAAAAAGCACGAAAAAAGAAGCTGTCCTGGATTTTTGGCGAGCAAGCGAAATAAGTCGCTGCTGCGAAGCTTTTTATTGTGCCCCTTTTTTTTTTGCCTTCTTTATAAAAACGTGCATCGAATCGACTTGCGCCAGCAGAAAGCTCTCCCTCTCTCTCTCTTCTGGAAACGCGCGTGTAGACACGCCACGGCACACGAGGACGCGAGGATCGCTGTGTGTAGCGTATTATATATACGACGACTCTCGGGTGCAGTGCAGCGCCGCATTCCACACGTATATATACAGGGGTCGGACGACGACGACGACGACGCGCGGCACATCACAGATGAAAGGCATTACGGTATTATATATCTCCGTGCGAGCAGTTCACGGGATATGCTCGTGTGTGTATATACGTATACGTATACGAGACATAGGATATATATGATGCAAGGCTCGAGGTTAGAGAGCTACGCTGCGACTGCATCATCTGGCGTATGTAGCACGAGAGGAAGACGAGTAGTAGCAGTAGTAGTAGATGAGGTCGAGTTTGGTCAGACCATTGCGGATGACAGTGCAGCAGCACTGTAACGTACACACACGTATAACACACACACACACACACACGTACGGAGACGCAGATGCGAGGAGCTGCGACGTTTTCGTCTAATGTGAAATCTCCCTGACTTTTCTGCAAGCTCTGGATTTTCATCCACTCTTGTAATACGTATACTGCGCTGTAATACATCTCGAGAAACGACTTCTTGTTTCTTCTCTCTACTTCTACTTCTTCTTCTTTTTTTTTCATCTTACTTCTTGATATCAATATTTTGAACGGCTTCGTCCTCTGTTATTCCAGACGACTTTTCTAAGAATTTCAATTTACTCATTGTTTGCTCTCGTTGCATACACACACACATTCGTGCTTCATACGTTTCGATCATCTCTCTCGCTTAATTGTTCTCATTCAACGCGGGCAAAATGACTTCCGCCAAGTCCTATATACAATATATATACTATATATATGCACGACGACGCGTGTGCGACGCCTGATCGCGTTCCCGTACGTCACGGTTATTAGACTTCGTCGTCGCCGTCGTCGTCGTGCTT